TTTTTTAGTCCTTTGCAGGTAATTTTCGAGTGTTGATGCTACACACAGAGCGGGTTTTTCTTCGAATTTTGGCAAGACCAACAGAGACTGGAATTTTTCTGGTCCGGAGGTTTTTATGGAGTCTGGAATCTCGATTTTGATGGAATCGCTTTTTCTTAAGATGTTGTTTATATCACCCTGGTGGGGCTTAAATTTCTATAAATGATAATACAACCGAAGTGTCCCAGGTTCTTTTGTATTTTGTTTCCGTTGGCCGATTTCTAAATATACCTTTGAAGAATTTTTGAATTAGGTTGTTGTTAGACATGTCTATGTCCAAGATGTTTCCTAGTGCAGATCTGGCAGAATTTAGCGTTCCGTACGATGCTCCGGCTTCGAATTTTTCTGTAAGGTATTCCAAGACGTCGTTGATTGTAGCCGAGTAAGGGTTGCAGCTCTTGTTTTTGCAAAATGTCCACCAACTTGTGAAAGCAGATTCGTATTGCTGGATTTTTGTGGCTGCTAGTGAGTTTAATAGGACATCTATGACTTGTTCGCTGACTCCTTTTCTTCTATGCGCCGTCCCGAGAGCTTCCCGACCAGAAGTGTAAGGTGTTTCGAAAGTGGGTGTGTCAGGGCCCTGCAAGGTGATTTAAGCAAGTGATTAGAAGGGTGCAAAATTAGTGGTGCACTTAACAGTATTTCGTTAAACGTGGGGGGAAACCATATTTGTGTTGTCCAAAAGGGCACAACGAGGATTACGACGGCTTTTTCATTAATTATTTTTTGTAAGACTCTAGGGATCAGAGCAAAGGGGGGAAAGGCATAGAATTTTTTTCCCTTCCATGATATTGTAAATTCATCTATTGCGAAAGCATCACTATCTGCTTGCCAAGTGCAATATAATCGGCATTTTTTATTGATTCTCGAGGTGAATACATCTACTTCCAACGGTCCATAGGTTTTTTCGATTTTTTGGAACACGTATTTTGCTAGCTCCCATTCAGTATCTATGTTCGTGATTCTAGATTGACGGTCAGCTATCGTGTTTTTCTTAGATTCTATATAAGTGGCAAACAACCATAAATTTCTTTTTTCTGACCAGGTCCAGATTTTTCGAATTAATTTTTTGTATGCTGGAAATAGTGTACCCCCCATGCGATTTATATATAACAAAGCTGTTGTGTTATCGATTTTTATTAGGATTTCTGCGTTTTTTAGTTTATTTGCAAATGTTTTTAAAGCTAAGAAGGCCGCTAATAGTTCTAGGTAGTTTATCGAGGATTGTTTTTCTTCTTTCGTCCAGAAACCATGGAGAGTTTCTTTGTCACATGCGGTTCCCCAACCGCTTAGGGAGGCATCGGTGTAAATTGTTAATTTAAAATTTGATTTTTTCATAGGGTTACATGACGATTTTAACTGTGTTTTCCACCAATTAAGATCATTGTATGACTCTTCTGATATGGTCATGAGTTTATTGTAATTCCTACCGTTTTTCTTCCAAATAGGACTGTATCGTCGAGATAAACGGTTGATCTGAAACCTAAACTTCTCAATTTACTGATTACCGGTTGTAAAATTTTTGTAAAAACAAAGGGACATACACACATGCCAAAGGGAAAGCAAGTAAATTGATATAATTGACCATTAAATGAAAATCTTAAAAATTTTCTAGATTTTTTGTCGACAGAAACGAGCAAAAAGGCATCTTTAAGGTCTAGAGAACACAGGAGGTCATTTTTTATTAATAATTTGCTTGCTGTATCGATATATTCCATTTTAAAGTGTTCTGTTGATATAAAGTTATTTATACCTTTTAGATTTAATATAAATCTATCGTAGCCATTAGGTTTTTTGGTTAAAAAGTAAGGAGATAAATATTCTCCTTCTTCTGAGACACAATTTTCGACTGCACTAATGCCTTGTAATTTTTTAATTGCGTTTGCAAGGGCTGTTTTTTCCTCGTCGGTATAGTTTTTCTCTAGGGGTGAATAATTTTGTACAACAGGCCTATTAAATTCAATTTGGTACCCCTTGATACATCTCAGGACGAATGGGTTAGTAGTTATGGATTCCCACGTTTTATAATAGTATTTAAGTTGGCCTGCTACATGACTTACCATTACTTGCGCTAGGGTCGGTTCGGTTGGTAGCGTCTCTGCGGCTGATTTTTGGTCCTTGTTGCCGATGAGTAATGTTCTTTCGGCTGCGTCTCGAATTTTGTTTTGTAGCCCACCTGGTACGTCCTTGGTCTTTTTTCAGGTGGGCGTTTCCAGTTTAAATATCCGCTTGAAGTATTTTGCAAAATCTTTGTCAAATAAATATTCGTCAGGTTTGCATTCCTCTACAAGGTCCAAGATATTCTTATTTAATCCTGCTAAGATGCACGCTTTTCTAGAAGTTAGTTGCGAGTAATGTAGTTCTGACAAGATTTTTCCCGTGTCTGATAGTTTTTCCAATAGTTGTTTTCGATTTATTTCATTATTATGAAGTACATCAGTCATTGCCAGTCCGAGTGCTGTCATGGCAGCCGATGTCAGGTTTTGAGAATCAGAAAAGTGTCCGTCTCTTTTCACGGCACTCTTTGACATCAGATGTGATACTTCGCGATTGAAAGCTTGCGGTTTTATCCCTTTAACGTTAGGGTAATCTTTTAACAATTTTTCTTTTATTTCTTTTTTGAGACCCGTGGTAATCCATGTGGTCCATCTTGTCAGTAAATCTTTGTTTATTAAGAATTTTGTATCTTTAATCGTAGTCGGGTCATCTCTAAAAATTTCCAAATCCTCGGTGTTAAGTTTTCTATTATCGTTTGATTCTGTTTCCTTACTGCTATTTGGATCCGCAGTTTTTGTTGGATCTGGACGTAGATTCTTTGATATTTTTCTTTGGACTTGTCTTGCCTCTCGTACAAGATCGTCTGATATTTGATCGACTTATATATTTGATTCGACTTTTTACGAGGGTCGATGGCGTTTGTTTTCACGACGTTTTATGCTTCGATGTCTTTGATGATCTCTGTCGTGTCGTGACTCTCGGGATTTTCGTCCAGGTACAGATCCTTCACGTGAAAAACTGCCTCTTAGAGATGAATCTCTGCGTTGACTTTGACTCGTGGGTGAGTGTCGTGTCCTGTGTCGTTCGTATCGGGGCTCGTATTCACTTTCCCATCTATTTTGGTCGCGAAACTTCTCCGTCTTGTGTTTCTTGGACTTTTTCCGATGTGTACGATGATTTTTCGGTGACGGCGAACGACTTCTATTATTCATTATGCTGATTTCTCTTGGTGTTCGATGTGACGCGTGAGGCACAAAAAAACACAATGGCTGAACATGGAAGAGGGCGATGAGGAGCAGAGAGCCAACCAAAGAATTCCTTTCAACCTCTAAACATGTAGCGCAGTAGGTGTAAGAAAACAGAACTACCAGTGTAATCATGAGAACGAGACTCGATAGATAATTGAAATAAATGTTAAATAAAATAAATTAAAATATAACAATAACTAATAACTAATATTTACAATATTTGTAGGTTACTTGTGATGGGGTTGTAATTTGCAGAGATGCATTTGAAAGTGCTCAACACGCAACTAGCATCAGTGACGTAGTACGCAAAATTGCTGCGGGCTACTGGTCTAATGATAAAATGCAATATGTTGGCAGTAGGAAACCTCGAGGCATCAGCAGAAAGCAGCATATAAAAATTGAAAGAAAAGATTACGACAACATCAAACGTAAGTCGAATAGAATAGAAAGTCGCTTTATTTTGATCGAATCTCTAAAGAACAAATTGTGCAAATATAGGGTAAATGTATTAATTACGGCGCGATTTAAGTCAAAACACCTTTGAAATAGAAAATTCGCCATTTCTATTGTAGAAAGTAAATTTAAGATTTATTAAATTAGAAGCTTATGTTATTTAGATATAATAAAAATTAACTGAATAAAAATCGACTATTTAAAGAAATATGAGAAATTAAAACTAATACCGTAATTTTCTATTACGGCGCGTTTGTTTAAATTTCGGTATATCAATTTCGGTGACCAAAATTACGTGTATTTCGAATTTGTAAAATTTTGATCTTTTGGTTATTCTATTAAGAATTCCATAAATTGTTTATTTAAGTTCATAAGATTTGCTTTAAATTTGTTACTTGGTGTTTTCAGTGTCCCTGATTACGAATTTGACTTTAAATTTGTAATTAGTTTCCCCAAAAGTTTCCAAGGAACGAAATTAAAACAAATCGGACAAATTTTTGACTACATTGGATCCGCCATATTTAAGTTTTCAAAAACTGTTAACGGATTCGTAATAAGCAATCTCGAAAACCCAACATTAACCATTTTTAAAATATTTCAAGTAATTTTTAAAAATGTACTCTAAATTGGATCCACCGTTTTGAATTTTGAAAAACTGACATTCGATTCGTAATCAGCGACCCCAAAAATCTTCTAGTAAGAATTTTCAAAGAATTTCGAACAACTTTCAAAAATATTCCACTCTATTGGATCTGCATTTTTGAATTTAAAAAAATTAACCACCAAAGCAACGATTCATAAACTGCAAGTAACTTCTTTAATTAACTTAAACAAAGTTCACGACTGCTTTATTAGAAATTAATTTCTTTTTAAAAATTATTTTACGTATTTTTAATAAATATTTTGATTTCTCAATAAAAAATATTATGTCTTGGTTACTATATTCATTTGAGAAGTAAAATTTTAAAAGTCGATAAATCTATTTTTTAAAAAAAGTGAAAATAAATACAAATACAACATTAAGATCTTACTAATCACTCTATCAATGTTGAATTTAAGAAAAAAATTTCAAGTTAAAAAAACATCTTTTCTTGACCAAGATGATTTAAAATTTTATTCTTTTTGTAAAAAATTTACAAAAAGCTTAGAATTCTCCAATTATAATAGACTTTAATTAAAATTAAGATTTCCTTCTTAAATCTAACAAATATTTTTTATAAATAATTTATTACAATTTTTCTTTCTGAAAATTAACTTAATATGCCAGCAAAATCACTGGTGAGGGGAAGCCTATTTATTGAAGGCATGTCGCCTTTCCTCCAACAACTGCTTCACCGCCAGGTTGATCGTCTCGGGTGGTAATCCGGCCAAGACCCGAGTCAAATCTGAGATGGCTTGAGACAACTCCATGAGCGGAACTTCCACTGACGCCACTTCTGCAGAAGGTAATGGAGCATCCGGAATCGACTCCACTTCCGGACCCTTGTCGGCAATTGGTGATCGAGGAGTGGTTCTGTCGATCAAAAGCGGAACCTTAGCAATTTCCCTCGTTTTTTCTTTCCGGGCGTCCACCCCCTTCGTCGTACTTACACGCCCACACACCCCAGTCGATAAATTGCGGTTTTCCTCACGAATAAACCTTTCATGGGCCTCGACACACCTTGGGCATGTCGCCAAGGTCACATATTTCCTGCCGCAATTAAAACAACAGGACTCAGTGACTTTCTTTGGGCATTGCTGGCGGCGATGGCCCCTTAGCCAACAATTTTGACACACCCGGGGGGGTGGATCAATTGTTGGATCCGTTGGGATGGGTTTCAACCCCTGGAACATCACCCCTGTTGTTTTAGTGGGTAGAGGTCCATGTCTACCACTATCTATCTCCTTTTCCCTTGGTCGCAAATTTTTCTCTTGATTTGGAGGGCCAGGCGGTGTGATTGGTCTCGTCGGAATAGTAACATCATCCTCATCACCACGAGAAACGAGATCTTCCTTTCTCAATGTTTTCTTCCTCTTTTCCATTTCTTTTCGCTGGCCCTCCCTCAACTTCTCCAAAACCACCGTCGTCTGCCGCGGCTTGTCTTGGACAAAACGCTTTAACTCCAGGACAGCCAACCGGTCCTCAAATTGCTCCCAACTCTCATGTTTGCGTCGATGTGGACAGTCATCCGCACTCTCGGTCGACGATGAGGCCTTCGGTTCGATGATGGGAACCTCTCTTCCCTCCTCTTCCCTAGTCGGCAAGGAGTGGCGACGAATCGCTCCCAACTCTCCGGTCACCATCGGGTCTGGATTTGGGAAATCCAGCAATGAACGCGGAGTTGCGACATCCCTTGGGGGTTCAAAAACACTCTCCGGGCGATGGAGTGACGCCGATCTCAATCGCTGACGATTAACTCGTCGTTACCTCCCATGTCGAGCATCCCCTTGCTGAGACATTTTCTCTCTCCTATAAGGCCTCTGTCGCTTATCCCTTCTCCTCCTTCTCTCGCTACCCTTGTCGATACTCCTCCTTCGATCTAAAAAAATAATAATCATTAGTAAAAATTAATGAGGTCGTGGGGGAAGATATCGTTTAAGATCTGAGACATGAATTTTAGGGATACGACGACTTTCGTTATCGCATAAGACAAAAACCGTCGGCGATAATTTCTCCACGATCTCGAAAGGGCCTTCATATTTCGGTGCGAGTTTTGTCACAAAATTCCGTGTACCACTCGACAATTTGTGTGATTTACGGAGTACTAGATCACCCACCTTAAACAACCCCTCATGTCGATTACGGTTATAGTACTCGGTCTGTCGATCACGTTCTTTGTCGATAAATTTTGCTACCAAGTCTCGCAACGCATCCAACCTCTTTACCCTGTCTACCCAATCTTCTGGCGCAATTCTCTTAACCTGATCTCGTTGTTCTACCTCCCGTCGCAAACTTTTAACCGGTCGAGGATGTTTTCCGTAATTTAAAAATGCGGGAGACGTTTTAGTCGCCACCTGTGTCACAGTGTTCATAACATGGCGAAACTCGTGAACATGAAGATCCCAGTCGCGATGATCATTCCCTATGAAAGTCGCAATCATGGTCTTCAACGTGCGGTTACTTCTCTCCACGGGATTAGTTTGCGGGTGGTAGGGTGGTGTGGTGATGTGTTTGACACCATATTCCTGAAGCGTCTCCTTGAGGAACTTGTTGTCGAACTCCTTCCCATTGTCTGTTAATAAAAAATCAGGGGTTTCCCAGCGGAAGAGGACCAATTCTTCGAATGCTTTGGCCACCGACTTTCCATCAGCTGATCGCAACGGATCACCTCAACCCACCTCGAGAAAAGATCTTGGAACACGACAAGATATTTACACCTACTCTTGCTTGGTGGAAACTCCATCGTGTCCGCTGCCACTACAGCCCAAGGTCGCTCAACTATCCTCTGTCTCATTAGTCCTGCCAGTCCTGCTTGTGATGCTGGCACTGGGGACATCGAGTGACATACTGGTGGACATCATTCCAGATTCCTTGCCAGTAATATTCGCTCGCCACTCGATTGTACGTTTTCTCCACCCCCAAATGACCTGCCGACGCCAATCCATGGCCGTCGTGGAGAACTCTCTCTCTGTGCTCCTCAGGTACCACCAGTTTCCAACCATCCTCGTCGCCAACAATCGGAAGGAGTAACGGGTCACTCCTCTGTCGATAAAGATGATCGTTCTCAATTTTCCATCCAGGAAAACGCTCCGGGAATTGTCGAACCAAATCTCGTCGCTTAAGGTACCACTGGTCCATAATGGTATCAAAGGCATCGATCATCTCCTCGTCATCCTCACTTATTCTGGACAAGCATCTGGGACTTGGTTCAATGCACCTCTCCTGTGAATGATTTCAAAATCCCACACCTGCATTTCCAGGGCCCATCTCGCTAGTCGACCACCCGGGTCTTTCAAGTTTCTAAGCCACTTTAGGGCACTCTGATCTGTGATCACCTTAAACTTGTATCCCTCTATATACGGTCGCAACTTCTTAATCGCCCACAACATCGCTAAACACTCCTTCTCCGTGACGCTATAATTCCGTTCTGCCCCAGTCAGAACACGGCTGATATACATCACCGGATGTTCACCGTCGTCAAACTCCTGAGTCAATACTGCTCCAATAGCAAAACTACTCGCATCACATTGGATGGTGAATGTCTTACTAAAGTCAGGACGGGCCAACACTGGCGCTGTCGTAAGTTTGTCCTTCAACTTGTCGAAAGCCTCTTGCTGCTCCTCGCCCCATTCCCAGTCTCGACTCTTCTTGAGCAATTTAAGAAGAGGTATCTTGATTTCACTATCGTTCTTGATGAATCTCGAATACCACCCCACCATGCCCAAAAATCTTCGGAGTTGTTTGACGTTCTTTGGCGCTGGATAGTTTCTCACTGGCTCGGTTTTTTCGGGGTCTGGTCGCAATCCTTCATTGTCGAGAGGATACCCCAAGTAGGTAACCCTAGAGCACCCAAACTCATATTTCTCTGGGTTAACCACAAATCCCGCGTCTGCCAACTTCTTCAATACTATCTCTAGCCATTTCACGTGTTCGTCGAAAGTATCTGTCACAATTATTATATCGTCGAGATAACCAAACACGTGAGGTTCAAATTCCGGTCCGAAAAGAGCATCAATTACTCGCTGAAAAGTCATCGGCCCGTTAGTCAAGCCGAATGGCATTCGTCGATATTGCCCACGTGATCATAATAGGTAACATGCGTCTCTGGCGATGCTGTACTGGTGTCTCGTCTGTAACCCTTATATGATGTTCTGTCAGATTTGTCACCCCCAGTACGTCAGATTCTGGAAGAACCAATCGGTTCACCATTTCTTGAATGATCTCTCTTTGTTTGTCCGTCAACGCAGAGATTCCAGCGCATTCAGCGTAGATCGACTCATTACTCTCAATCCCATCCTTGACGCCAAAAACATACCAGTCGCCATTGAAAACTCTCCATAACCCCAGTCCCAATTGTACCTCCATATTCCAGGCTTTGCAGAAATCCACACCCAAAATTATATCTTCTACTACTGAACTAAGGACCTTGACGTCTTTTCCCACTCTGTTGCCCACTACAGGATGCACCCTCGTTGATGGGGAAAAATTTAACCCTCTTGGTTTACTCTTCTTTTCCCCTGAACCTTCTCCAACCCTGGTCGCTACCCCGTCGTTAAGAATTGGTTTTTATGATTCTTCAGTGGGTTGGAGGGGGGTACAGACCCGCTCTGTGCCCCCCATTGTCCGTTTCCCAAAGCGACCCTCACTTGGACGGAATTCGGACAATTAAGGAAATTCACGCCTGGTGATCGACAAACAAGGCAGGATTCAACCTGGACTCTAGCTGGGCATTGTGCTGCGAAATGACCACGCTGTTGACAAACAAAGCATGTCCTCATGGGGCATTCCGAAACTTTGTGTCCGACCATTTGACATGTGACACATGCCCCCACAAATGGCTTCGACCCGCCCGTCGCAATTTGTGTTGTATGTCCAGTATTCCCAGCTCCTTGTTTTGGTGGAAACTGGCGCTTGCCTTTCCCAGCGGCCACTGTCGCAAAAGTAGGAGTAGGGTTAGAAGCCCGTATCGGAGTCGCGGATGGCTGAGGACTTGATTGCTTAATTGCATTCACCTCTGTAGTCCCCTTCTCGGAATCAGCCTTCTTTGTCTTCTTTGACTTTTTTCCCTTACTTTTCTTGTCGACCACCTTCTCTACCTCGCTACCCGTCGCTGACTCGTTTTCTAAAGCCGCTATCTTCTTCGTCTCTTTTGAGGAAGATGGCTTTTTCTCATCCTTCTTCGTACCCTTATAAGCCGCGGCGGGAAAACGCATTTTCTCTTTAGGGGGAGGGGGAACGTATCTGTCGTCAAGATCTTGAACCTTTTCGAACTGTCGCAAATTTCTCTCTAATTTCGAGAGTGATTCTAACCCCGATGAATCAACTTGTTTCCGATAAGTGGGGGTAAGTCCCTTATAAGCTATTTTAACCTGTTCCCTGGTCGACAATGGTTTCCTAAGGTGCCCCATTATAAGTCGCAAACTGGATATGTAGGAGGATATTTTCTCCCCTTTCGCTTGGGTCCTACTCCTCATCTCGTCTATCACTTCGTCGTCATCAATGTTCGTTAAATACTCTCGTCGAAAAGCTTTTTTAAATGATCTCCACGAACCAATTTCTTTACGAATTGTGCGGAACCACCTACTCGCATTACCCTTAAAAATGCTGGGAAGTGTTTGGAGGAGGTCTTCGTAGCTTATCATGGCGCAATCTCGGCAGTCTTCAATCCTCTCTAAGAATTCTTCGGGATCTTCTCGCTCTTCACCCGAGAACTTAATATGCCAATCTTTTAGAGTCCTATTGACTTTATTTCGTCGAGAAGCTTCACGAAAATTTCTTCGCATCTGATTTCGGTCACTTACGTCCGTTTCGTTATCAGTGGAAGAATTGTCGAAAAGTGTCCTTCTAGCATTAACCCGTGGTGTATTTTGGGGGGTATGCCTTCGGCTGGGTTCCCTACGTTCTTGACGACTCCCTTTACTAGTCGAGAATTTGTCGCTAACTTCCGATCTCACTCTACTGTCGCTATGTAACTCACTGGGTTCACTCTTTACTCCAGAACCCCTTCTCTCTTTATGTATGTGCGCCTACTGTCACATACTTCCCCACTCCTATTCCTGTTTTCCCCTACTGTCCGGGGAGTTGGGTTAGGGATGGTGTTGGGACTCTCTCCTCCTGATTGGCCCTGGTTAACCGAAGTTATTTCATCCCCTTCCCCTGTCACAAATTCTACTGGATTTTGAGATGGCCGGTGAAAATTGCTATTATCCCCCAAATTCTGACCCATACTAGCAGCCATTAAATGGTTATTAATACGGATCAGCTGTTGTAGTTCTGGACTCAGGGTAAACTTGGCTATAGATTGTCGCAAGCTAATCACCCCAGGCGACATCGTCGCTGAAACCCTCATTTACGGGGCAGAATTCACGGTATTCGTTGGCGCAGAGTTCATAGAATGAACGGCTGACATTGGTGGTGGGGAATTTGTGGGGATCGACGCTGTGGACATCACCGGTGGTGATTGTGGAAGGGGCGGTGGAGGGGACGGAAAGTCATCGGTTGTCGGACTTGGTCTGCTGTGCGATGATTTATCTCCCAACCTTTTTCTAATGGCCCCTTTACTTTGTTGATCTCCCAAAAATCCCAAGTCACGAATCGACCGTGAATTTTTCTCCTCGTCGCTACTCGAATAAAACTAGCTTCCTCTTTGAAGATTTACATTAGGCAATAAATTTTCTTCTGTGAATGCCTCAAACTGAAAAACTTTGACCGAGTTCCCTTTATCGTACTCGTCGCAAAAGCGTACGTCAGTTTCTGGGGGAAGCGCGAGTTTCAATTCTGCTCGAAACAGTCGTTCTCGCAAAACTTGTAACGAGCCACTCCCTTAAAAATTTTCACGCAAAATTGTAAATTAATTTTTGAAAGGCCCGTCGGTCTGTT